TAGCTGTCATTAAGAGCAATCACTGTATCCTACAGAATGAACACACTTGGAGTAGCAGAAAGCTGTCCTCCTCTGAACAAGTAGCCTGTAGAATTAAATATTTTGTAACTACTCATAGTGTGCTCAGTACTATATAGTAAGCATTTTTGCAATTTCTCCCTTTCTTTTGAGTTGCTTATAGGAAAAGAGATATGGCCTAGAGGGACAGGTGAAGGCTCAGTCGTTAAGCATCTGTCTTTAGCTCAGGTCATGATCCCAGGGTCCTGGGATCGAGTCCCGCATTGGGCTCCCTGCTCAGTGGGAAGCCTGCTTCTCCTTCTCCCGCTCCCCCTGCTTGTGTTCCCTCTACGCTGTCTCTCTCTCTCTGTCAAAAAAATAAAATCTTAAAAAAAAAAAAAATTGAGAGCTATTTGGAGGAAGATGTTGGTTAAGCGTAACCTTCTACTAAACCTATGTAAGCCAGAACCCCTATTCTGTGGATAACGAGAAATTATAAATGCCCTCAGATGTCAATTCCACAGATATTTACTGAGAACCTACTATGTGTAGGGCATTCTACTCAACGTGGTCATGCACACAGAGATGAATCAGGAATCCCTAGTTGCTTATAGACCATTGGAAGGTAGAGGTAGCTGCAAAATGGAGCAGGGTAAGTTGAGGGTCATGAGAATGATACACATGGCCTTGTAGCTGGAAAGGAAAATGAAATTACTCTCTTTAGAGGGATCTGGAATGGCTCTACAGAGGCTATTTTACACATTTGTAGATGTGTGCATTTCTGTTTGGGTGACTGAAAGTGGCAAGGCAGTTTCTTCCCCGTGCCATAACTCTGTTTAGTATTTGATCCTCCCTTCCTCCCCCCTCCTCCCGCCTTTCTCAAGAAAAATATTGCTGTACATTAATTCTTTTGAAGCCTTTAATGGTGTTGCTGAGACAATCATTTAAGCATTTAAAATACATAGCACGTAGTACACTTATTTTAGAGGCAGCAGTGGTTAGCCACTGGAAACTAACCATTGGGTTTGATAAAGGGGGGATTTTATATGTTATGGCTTATGACAGAATGGAAAAATGCTTCAGTGAGACAGGCTGGCATTTTAAATTGGAGCACAATAATGGCAAGAAGTGCTGAAGTCAACAGACTGCTTAGAAATATGGTTACTATTTGCTGAGAGAGGCCTTACAAGGTGGCCACATACAAGCATTTGCAACCACAGTTAGTTCAGTTCTTCCCTAAACATGGGATGTGACCCTGATTGACGTCAGTGAGAGTTGTATACTTGCAGGGAAAGGAGATTCAGGTCATCTAAGAAGCCAAGGCAAGGAGGAAATAGGTGTAATAAGCAACGAGTTCTAACAGACTCACACATTATACATAACTTAGGTTGGAAACCAGACAGAGATGACCATGATCTGAATCTTCTGGGGCTGGCCCCAAACTTCTCCTTTTACCCCCAAAGCTATTAGAATATGAATTGAGTCTAGTCCACACAACTTGAAGATGGTAGACAAGGTAGAATGAGAATATAGAAGACAGTCTTATGAGGTGACATTTGATTTATGACTTGGACAGTATGAAGGAAATGGCCACAAGAGCTGGAAGATGAGAATTCCAAAGGAAAGAATCAGCAAGGAGAAAATATCAGAAATGAGTGACCGAATTGCTTTACCTCTCTGGGCCTCAGTGTCATCATTTGTAAAACTGGAGAGTTCGACTAAGTGAGCCCTAAGGAATTTGTCAGCTCCAAAATGCAAAGAAGTAAAGACTTAGCTAACATGGGCAACAGGGTTAAATGTTTGGTTTGTTTGTTTTTTTCCTGGTTTAATTGAGATATAATTGACATATAACATTGTATTAGTTTAAGGTATCAACATAATGCTTTGATAGATGGATGTATTGCAGTGTTTGTTTTTGAAGATGGTAGCCCTGGGGGGTGTTTGAAACATTAGGAACAGGATGGAAACATTGAGAGGAAGAAAATGTTGGCAAGGGAAACATTTTTTTGTTAAATGCAACAAGATTCCAAATTAGTGGAAGGAGATAGTGTTCGGGGTGTGTGGGGGGGAGCTCTTTCTTCTTTCTGATGTTTCCTGTCTTGTGAGGGGAGCTTAATTACTGTAACATTGCTGATCACTTTAGTTCTTCTACCTTAAGGGAGGTGGAGTGAGAAGACGAAATTGAGCATGTTTTGCTCCTTTCAGCTCTTCCCTTTTGCTTTTGGGCAGCAATCCTCAACTTGGAGAGCTTTTCTCCTTACTTCCCCAGGCCTTAATTCTTGCCTGGGGAGGGTACCCTCTCCTCTGGGAGCTTTGACCTGATCTAGTGTTTCCTGTGACCTTGTGGGTAAATCTATTGAATATGGGGATTCAATTTTCAGGTACCTTTGGTTCCCACACTAAGTCATATTGTCCAGTTTAGCCTTCATCAGTAATAATGGTGATATTTTGGTATCCCTCTGCCATATCCTCATCTTACTTTTTGGTATGTTCAGAATTTGGATGGGCAAGAAGAGTGCCATTCATTTGGCCCTTTCAGACCCCAAAAGCTAGGATTCAAGGGGAAAGGAATTAGCTTTGGTGAGAGGGGATATTGTCTCCTTTGAATCAGAAAGGAGAAGGCAGTAGTTGTGAAGAACTACAGATACTTGAGCCATGATGGAGTTTCAGATTCAGAATCATCTCAGTAAAGTAGGAGGCCAAATAATCAACTGAGAATGAGTCAGCAGGCATGGAACTAGAAAGTTAAAAGAGGAAAAGAGTTAGAACTGCAACTATGGGGAGTGTACTCAAGAATCCACGGAAGAGCAAACTGTTGCCAGTTAGGGTGACAAGGTGATATTAACAGGCTTGGTTGTGGATGGGGCTCAAAGGCTGCCTTGTTATCTGCCACCAGTCACAAAGCAGTGGTGAAAACTGCTCTGTAGTATATGTTTGAGTCTTAAATTATATTAAATTTCACAAATAAATGAAAGGATCTATTAGGGTTAGACAATGAATGGTTATATTTATATTGTTACACAAGCTAGACAGTTCTTCAGACATGGTGTACACAGCCACTAAGTTAACCCTTGTCTCGGCTGATTCAGATTTTCTTCTTGTGTGTGTGTGTATGTACTCAGGTTTTAAAAAAAATATTAAGTAAGGTTTTTTAAAGAGCCCAATCAACAAAAGACTGCATATTAGCAGCGCCAAACACCAACAGGATGACGTTTTAACATCCGTTGTTTTTCATTACATAGATATACCCAGTGGCTTTATTGAAGGTTGTTATTCCTTACACGACAAGTTTAGTTGCTTTCATGCAGAAAAGGAAATACTCTGCCTTCTTCCTTTTGCCCACTGATTCTTCTAGAACCAAGGGGAGTGCCAGCTTCTTTATAAAGTAATCTCAAAATATTCTTTGCATCCCTCATTTCTCTCAATTCCTATTACTTTTAAAAAATCAGATTGTATATTCCCACATGCAGTTTGGTGAAGGGTGAGAGAATAGGGAGTAAGGAAGGATTTCAGGAGATGATTGCATTTGAACTGAGTGTGGAGAAAGAACAGAATTTGGCAGGTGGCTGTGGGTGCACTCCAGGTATGGCACATGGCTTAGTCCAAAGAGCATGGAGGCCTGGTGTCAGGTCATCTTTAGGGAGCAGAGTGTTGAGCAGGCCCTTTGGCTAGAGGACAAATATGCAAAGGGTGTATGGTCTCTGTGACTGGGAAAGTAGCATGAAATCAGATTTTTTCCCCCTTAGGGTGGGTAAGATTTTCCTGAGGAAGTAAGGCTGTGGAGATGTAGAAAGTGAAAATTCAGTGGGTTTGATTTCTGGAATGAGATTCTAGAAGGAACAGAATTAAGAGTCTAGTAGACAGGCACATAAAATCTGAGGGGAGGTGAGGAGGAGTTAAACAGAATGAAAAGAGAGGGCTCAGTTTTACTTGAAAAGCTGGTGATATTGTTTTGTAGTTGATAGAAGAATACCTCCTGATATTTAGAAATACAAAAATTATTTTAAATATATCTACTCTGTCAGAGTTGTTATTCCCCCCCCTTTTTCATTTTTGGTAAAAGAATAAAAAATAAAGAACAGCATACGCTGAAAGAAATCAGGTACACAACAGGGACTGAAATAATTTCAAATAATTTTTCTTCTAGGTGGATTGCTATTATAAAATAAGAATACATTTTGATTCAGAACTTTTATGAAGAACTTGGGCATTTTATTACAACATCTGTTTCTACATTTTAATTTCTCTTTTTCCTTTTATAGATATTTGCATACTTTTTTTTTTTCCAAATGAGAAGACCTTTTTTTTGCCACAAGAAGGCTATTATCCAGAATGTTAATGGGTTTTCAGCTATTAAGATGTAATGATATACCTTGAGTATTTAACTATAAATTTGACATATCTCCATGAGCAATCTCAAAGGAATACTTAGAATGCACTCCTGGTAAATTGGCTCATTTTCCTGTAATTTACTGGAAGTGCTGATATGAGAGCAGTCCTAATGTGAAAAGTACATTAATCCCTGGAGTTACATTTTATGTATTAAATTATTACTCTCAAAGAATAAAACGTATGAGGCCATTTAGCCTTCATTCACATTTGTTACTTAGAATCACAGTAGAGAAACAGTCACTTATCTTTGATGCACAAAATTAGAAATGATGCATTTAATATCTTTTAAAACAAGAGGCACAGTGATACTCAGTTATGCTTTTGCATAACAATTGCTCTTTCCCCAAACAAGGACTGTTCTAGTTAAGAGCACGATTCTTCGGGCTTTGTGGAGGCCCCTTTCATTCCATTGGTAATTGAAATATTTTTAGAAACCCATAATGCAGCTTTCTTTGATGTCAGTCAGAAAGATTAGTCTGCTTTCTAGCCCTGAGCTTCTGCCACATTGGGGGATTATTTAAGGAGGTAGTCAGTTTGCTGAAGCAGTGGTTGTAGGAACACTTAGGGTCTTGTTTGGAATTTTGTCTAATTGTGTTTTTCTTCTTTGCCAGGGGACTGAAAGTTGTGGAACCACAATTTGTGACACCAGGTGTTTTTTTGGTAAGCAGCCATTTATGATTCCGGAAGATTAAGGCAGATAGGAAGCCCCTTCTGAGATTGTAACAAAGCTCTCGAACAACAATCGACACCATGGACATAAAGCTGGACCCTTCCCGGGATGACCTGCCTCTCATGGCCAACACCAGCCACATACTCGTGAAGCACTATGTACTGGATTTAGATGTGGATTTCGAAAGTCAAATCATTGAGGGCACCATAGTGCTTTTCTTTGAGCCTGGGGACAGATTCGAGAAACAGAGTGGTTCCACCAAGGACACCTGCCGATCAGAGTCAAACGAAGCCTGCAGTTTTAGGATGCCTGCACCCTGCCAGAGTCCTGTGACAGATACAAGAACCTTCTCATCTAAAACAGGATATAATGATTTTGCAATCTGTGGTAAAGGTGAAAAAGATACTTCTGGTAAAGATGGTAACCATGACAACCCGGAACAGGCTTCTGGGATTTCTAGCTCAAAGTACCGCTGTGACACAGGGAATCATGGGAGTGAGGATTTTTTGCTAGTGTTGGACTGCTGTGATTTATCCGTGTTGAAGGTAGAGGAGGTGGATGTTGCTGCTGTGCCAGGTATTGACAAATTTACAAGGTCTCCCAAGCTCACAGTTGTTTCTGAGGAGCTCAGGAATCAGATTGTACATGAACTTGTCACTCTGCCTGCAGGGCGTTGGCGGGAGCAGTTAGACTATTATGCTGGCTGCAGCCAGGCTCCTGGCTGTGGGGAGCTCCTGTTTGACACTGACACTTGGAGCTTACAGATCAGGAAGACAGGGGCTCAGACAGCTACTGACTTTCCTCACGCCATAAGGATATGGTACAGCACCAAACCCCAGGGGCGATCCGTTACATGGACCTCAGACCAGAGCGGCAGGTAGGTTATCTGGGCGCTCCACAGCCCCCTGCCCGTTAATCTCACACACTGGGAGATGAGCCTTTGCACGGATGCTCTTCCACAGGGGACGGTCTTGGCAAGGATGCTCCTCTCTATTCTGTGGCATTACCCATCTAGCCTCAAATCCCTAGGCCCACAGTGAAGCAGGTGAATTCCCAGGCATGCTCCACTCTTAATAGGATTATTTCCTTAAGTCATGATAAAAAGATTACTTTATTCAGCCCCTGTATTTCGGAGTTAGGAGATTGAAAGGCAAGCCTAATGATTAAATCCCGAGCCTAGCTCTCCGTTGGGATCTCTGCTGGCGACCTCAGTGCTGTAGATGGGAGTGATATGTGTCTCTGAGCAAATACTGTCTCAAAGTTCCTTCATATTCCCCCCGAGGGAATAAACTGCCACCAAGTTGGGTCAGTCTGAAGCCTGGCCAAGGGCTTCCAAATAAAGCCAGCTCTGCTTTGTGACTTTCTTACTGAACCTGTCTTTTGGCAGCCGTGCCTCTCTGGACTCTGTCACTTGTCATAGAGTGCAAACCCCCAAACACTGGAAAGGTCTCTTTCCGAGGCGCGTGACACAGCCCTGCCAAGACTGCACACTTGCTCCTCTGGCTGCGGTTCTTCCCATTTGACCCCAGGAGACTCCGGGTTTTTAGTGTAGAGAGAAGGGATTGATGAGGCATTGAGGTGTTCAGGCAAGCCGTTTGTGCTTTTCTTCTTGCCCTTCTTCCAACAGTTGTTCAGGGTTCTTAGAATTTGAGAATTTTAAAATCAAACTTCATTGATTCCTCATTATTTTACCTGTTTGTGCTAATGTACTGCAGATCAATACAGTAATTATTGCAGTTTGGCTGGAGGAATGCTGATCTCAATGAACTTGTTTTGAGCTCCTTCTTTTATAGCATGACTCCCTTGACAGAAGCGGTGGTCTTGGGAAATTGCTTAGATCTCTTCCCCAACCCACCCCCAAAAACCTTTTAGATTTTTTTTTTATTTTAAGCATCACTTCGACTTTGAGCTCTAATTATCCTTTTCCTTACCTCCAGTCTTACTTCTCTGCCCTGGTCTCCTGCCCCACTGAGAATGAGTTCATTTCTTGTCTTATTTCTGTTGGAGTTGAGAAATTGCAGGGTTGGTGCAAACCTACACCAGTACAAAAGCATACTGATTTATATATAGAATAACTTATTGGATATTCTTGTGAGACCATGAGGGAAAGAAACAGGTGTTCTTATTGTATCTTTAAAGTTTTTTGAAATTATTAAGGGTAGGGTTTTCAATAAGATTTAATTAAATATGGCTTCTGAATACTTAATTTAGGAAATCATAGTTTTTAACACTCCCAGATATTTCATTTCTGAATTAGAATAATGGGGAAGAAGAATCTATTGACAGTAGTTGGAAGAAATACTCATTAATGGCTTCAAACATGGCTTTCTTCTCAGTGCTCACTACCCAGAAAGAGATTAGACTTGTGAATTACATTATTACATGTCAGGTGTTGAATAGGAATGAGTTACGGATAAATACTGATTTCCATAAAGAAACCGAAGAGGTGCTAGGGCACATCTTTTTCCTGCAAAGATTGACTTGGCAGATTTACTCGTGATGTCTCCTTTTCTGATAATTCAATAAAATGCATGATTATAGCAGGAGTTTAAACTGTATCCTTGGGAGTTCGTGATTATATGTTAGTAAATAAATGGCACATATGCAGCCTTACAAGAATAATAAATTTTGTTTTACAGAAGAAATCCTCAAAAGATGTTTTCTCTCCCTTTTGTCTTTTTTGGGGGTAATTTTATTACAATCAAGATAATCTTCCATGAATGGCCACCAACTCTTCCACATGCTTACAAATAAATCTAGGTATATATTGGTAACTGTTTGGATACTTTAAGGACTTTAAAATGCCTAAGGATCCCAGGTTGCTAGACAGAAAATATTCCTTAGTGATAAGAGCAGATAATAATCATCAGGGTTATAAAGCTTTATGAATATAATTGTGTGAAAATATATAAAATTTTACAATTGTGTGAAAATTATAATTGGGTAGAGCTTGTTTTCTCCAAGGCATAGAGTCTACATTTACTGAAACTAAAATTTTATCCTTGAGTGGCAGAATACTATCAGCATACCTACATTCTTAGTCCCAGATACAAAATGTTTTATTCTCATTTTACAACTAGGAGAATTGAATAAAGTTACTGATAGCGCCTTGAAAAAAATCTATATTTCAGTTGTGAAAGGGAGCTACATTTCTTACTTTTGATCTTTACCATGTCCCTTATTGTATGCAAAGATTTCAGTACATTTAAAAAATATATTAGCTTTCAGTGAATTTCTATTTTTAAGCAGTTATTAGACAGAAACTTAAGAAAATCTCTAAATTGGTACCTTCCCTTTTGAGTTCTGTCAGTGTCTTCTCCCCTTGTCACCCTCACCCTACCCCATGTTGAAAATAAAACTTAAATTATTTGGTTTGATAATATATAAATAAGAGATCAAAGGATCCCAGGATGGAATGCAAATTGTGACAAAACAATCAAATTATATTAAAAATGTATGAAGCAACCTCACTGAAGGGGCTTGGGGGCAAAGGTGCTGACCTAAGTCACTTTGGAAATGAGTGGAGTTTGTAAGACTAAAGGCAAAAGGAGCTGTGCCTAAATACTGTGCTGTAGTTGATAAAGTTATTTCCTATGGGCGTACCAGTTAACAATTCTGGTACCACTATATGTGTATACTAGAATTGAGCAATTAAGTAAATTAAGTAAATCTGGGAGCCAGGTTTCTCACTGTTGAAGTGGGAGGTTACAGATGAGCAAGAGGAATAGGCTAGAATGATCTCTGTGGTGTAATAGATTAGAACTGGAGACATCACTATAAACTCATGTTTAATGTTTAGTTTAAGATGGATGCAGATGGTTGCATTATAGAAATAATTATAAATAGGTGTTTTCCAAGGATTAGCACGCACACGTAAATTTCCTTGCTTGCCATCTGGGAGGGTCTAGAAGCACAGTGCCTGGGTCTTGGTTTCTAATACCACTCTCCAATAATGAAACCAGGGCTTCTTGGAGGAACGGCTAAGACTGTAGGAAATAATACAAGATGAGCCTGGAGCATCTTGTAGTGCCAGAAAATAAGGAAGTGCTCAAACAGCAGCAATAGTAGCCCACAATTGAGGGTATATGCCCAAGGTCCAAGGAGCCATTGGAAAGAATTCCTAATGACCAAAGCTGAGCAACAATATAAAATAGTTTTGGATGATGACCTAAAGTATAAAATAAGTATTCATGAGTTCACATTAATATAAAGAAATACTTGAATAAATAAACAAATAGAGAATAGACATATCTAAGGTACAGAAGTTGTCCAAGTTATGTAGATACTCCATCCTCAAGGAGGTGGAACATAACTCTGCTCCTTATTAAGTATGGGCTAAGAAATAAGAGTAACTTTACATTGTAGAAACCTGACAAACATGACCTCAGTGAGGAGATCAAGGTTAACATCAAAGTGAGGAGTCATGTTGATATAGTGTGTATCCTTGGTATGATGTGATGAAATGACATCTTTGTGATTGTCCTCCCCCAAACCCATAACCCCAGTCTAACCAAGAGAAAAACATCAGATAAATCCCAGTTGAGGGACATTCAGCAACATACCTGACCAGTACTCCTCAAAACTCTCAATGTTGGGGCGCCTGGGTGGCTCAGAGGGTTAAGCCCTCTGCCTTCGGCTCAGGTAGTGATCCCAGAGTCCTCGGATTGAGCACCACGTCGGGCTCTCTGCTCAGTGGGGAGTCTGCTTCTCTCTCTGCCCCTCCCCTTGCTCATGTGCTCTCTCTCACATAAATAAAATCTTAAAAAAAAAAACCTCTCAGGGTCGACATAAGCAAAGAAAGTATTAAGAAATGGTCACAGTCAAGAGAAGCCTAAGGAGACATGATGATTAAAAGGAATGTAGTATCCTGGAGCAGAAAAAGGACATTAGGGAGAACCAAGGAAATCTGAATAAATACAGACTTTAATAATGTATCAATACTGGTTTATCAGTTGTGACAAATACACTAATATAAGATGTTAATAACAGTGCGTATGGGGTAAATGGGAAATCTGTGTATTATCTTTGCACTTAAGAGTAAACCTAACTGAAACAAATAAGACATTATATGTTAATTAAAAAAAAGTAAATCTAAGCCTGACCAAAAGTAATGTTTATTAAAAAAATAAACTTCAAATCTGGAAAGCAGTCACCATCTTTCTACCTTGAAATCTCTTACAAAAGTAAGGACTGCCTTCCCGTTTTTATCAAGTGGCAATGTTTTCTGGAGAACTGAAAATGTATTTGAAGTTATAAAAGAGTATTCCAATAATTGTCAGTAATTTCTTTTCTCCCCGTTATTATTCTAGTTCTAAAATGAAGTGCCTGATCGTTATAAAAGCTACATTTTCCTACTGGGGCTTAGTCATTGTGGGATTTTGGAAGTTCTTGAACTGAAATGTTCTTTCTGGCCACTGTCATGTAGATACTGGATTAGAGGTGACATTTAAGAAGGACCACCTAAACAGACACATATATGATAGTCTGATACAACATGCTTCTTGGAAAGCCTGTTTACTTCGTGTAATGTGATTTTTTTCTGCCCTCTAAAAATATTTTGAAGAACTTTGAGAACAGGGACAGAGTCAAGAATGTATTAAGGTTGTTGCTAAGCTGGGAAGAAAGGGGACTTGATATCTTTTTGGTTCTAGATCTTCAGTATACTTAAGAAAAAAACTTTTAGAAATGGAAACCTTTAATTCAAAATTTATGTACTTTTCTATTCCACTGAATAAAATGTTATTTAAAACTAAAAGCATTCTCTCTGGTAACCCGTTCCCTTTTCCCTTAGGATCATTATAATAGTTGTGGAACTGGCCAAGTGGTCTAGGGAACCCGAGCTTAAGCTAATGACATCACCGAACATGAGTTGAATGG